CGGGGGGGAGACAACAGTGCCATCAGAGTGGCAAATTTCCAGAGCAGGACCCCTGCCCTACTGTAGCCTGAATTCAGCAGGGTGGGAAAGGCAGCAGAGGCCCAAGAGCTGGGGCAACCAGTCTGGGAATAACTGAAAATGAACTCTATTCCAAAAGTTTCTGTCAGATAGCAGACTCAGTAATGCAAAGTTAAAAAGAACCTCTGAAATGCTTCACCTATTTGAACTGAAAGGTGCAATTATTTCCAGAATTCTACCTCTTAGACCAGAGAGGTTAAGACTGGAACTTCAGATTCCCACAGTGAAGAAAATATATACCCAGTGAATTGCACAGTGTGTTTCCAGCATCATTAATGATCCTTGGGAGTGGGAGACAATAAAGGGGGGTGCCAACTAGTCGTAATCCATCAAGGAACACACTGTTCACAACCATGTGCATTGCTTTCTCCAGACCCACAGGTTGGAGGTTCGGGTGAGCGCTAACAAGCTGGTACAACAGGCTAATTTGATGTGTGGGATTAATATGTTAATTTAATGCTCTTCTGTTTGGTTAAGTCATTTGCATTTCTAAATTTCTAAGCATATCATTCAAAGTCCTTTTATATGGGGGACCATTCGGCCTAATTCCCTTTCTCCCACTTGTCCTGTCAGCCTCCAGCCCTGAACACAGCAAGCTCATTCCCAACTTTGGGCTGTGTGTGCCATTTCCCTGGCCCGGAATGTTAGTCCTCTGCCTCCTCCCTACCCACATAGCCAAATCCTCCTCTAAATGTGTCAGGGTCTTACTCATACCCCAGCTCTTTAATAAACCATTACCAAAAGCCAAGTTCACACTCACCACCACACTCGCCACGTGAGCTGCCTCCACGCCCCATTCTGGTTACTCTGCATGTAACACCTTCCATTGGTCCTCAACTGGTTTTCACACATCTTGCTCCCCCATCCCCCCAACTACACCATTAACTCCTGGAGAATAGAGATGATGACTCACCGTTCTCTCATTGCGAGTCCTCTCACAAGGAGACATAACTATTCTTTAGCCTCACTTACTTGACCTCTGAATAGGGTCACCACCATTGACTTTTCCCCCCTCCATGAAATTTTTTCTTGGGTCCAGGGAGATCACCTCTACTTCTTTGTTCCTCCTCCTCCATCCAGATTCAGTCCTGGCAGGTGCCTCTTTCTCTCAAATTTCTCAAATATTACGATGGCTCCAAAATAACATCCAATGCTCCTGAATTTCTATTTTTAGCCTGAACTTTTCTTCTGAGCTATGCCTGGAAAGGCAAGTCAATCAGTTTTTTATGAAAATAACTCCATTTTCCACACAGAAAAATAACTCCATTTTCCACACAGATCAGTTAGCTCTCCATAGAGAGAAGCTCTCATTCTATGGTAATATTGTCTCTTTAATCCAAAGCATCTACCACAAAAACGATCATCTTCATGGTCCAAATTAATATAGGCTCTATAGTTGCACAATGATAAACTAATACATATCTGCATCTAAGTAGCGAAGGAGCGTGCAAAAAAGGGGGTGGGGCATTAGGAGGTAAGGATGATGGTACATTTGGTTTAGAGTCCTCCAGTGCTCAATGAACTTTCTCCCATATAGCACATGGTCCCCCCCCACACACACACACACAATGAACAAATTAAGACATGAAGGACCAGGCTGACTAAGCTTAAATGGGCTCGGTCTAGGAAAGGTTCTGCTCTGGAGTGGCTTATGTCCAATAAGCACATCATCTCTATTTGCCGAAATGAATCCAAGCGGTGGAGAAATGTCAAATATGTGGAAGATGGCCACATGTCAAGCAGCACAACTCTGAGAAGTTTGCTGTTTCCTCAGTGAGTGAGTTGGGGTCACGACCTCTGACCCCCAATGAAAAGGTTTTCTAATCAGGCCAAAAGACACATACTCCTCGCCAATTGTTGAGTTAGTATTCCAGAGAGCTAACATACCATAATTTGGATCATGTTGATTATTTCATAGTCAACCCTCTCTCAAACTCATTGGATTTCTCTACCTGTTTCTTCAAAATCAAACAGATTAGTAGAGCCAATAAACTGAATGGATAGCATCATAATGAACCTGGTCTTTGGGTTCTTCCTGACAATCAGAATATCAAATCCTTTCTAGGACCACCACGCTGACCCTTGAGGGTAACCACTGGAGGTGTGTTTCCTAAAATAAGTATAAATAGAAACTTCTTCAGAAAGGCTCTGTCAGCTCAGTGGGACACTCCCAGGGAGAAAAAGAGGGGATAAGGGCTGGGAGAGGAAGATGTAATTATAAAATGAAATGGGAACCAGGGGTGGGGTGGATAAACTGTTTGACATATGGATCCTCCTTTTTGCAGGAATAACCCCCAATCAGCCTGAAGGTGACTTCTTCCAAGGGAGAGATCAAATCAGCAATTGGCAAGAAGCAGTGCTACTCTACTGAGGCTTCAAATTGTTTCCACTTACTAAAGATTTCAATGCCGAACACAAATTCCAGCTCCCTGGAGAGTACTTGTGTGGAGAAAAAAAATCATGTCACTGCAGGAGTAACTCCTCTACAGCCACCCAGATGGGATGCTTTGAGAAAACGCCTTTTGTCAGCTTCCCACAGCTCAGTGCCTCAGTGAGTCACAACCAATAACGCCCTCCCCCAATAAAGCAGCAGGGTACCAAGAAGGCTAATTCTTCCCTACTCCTTTTTTTTTTCCTATATATATTTTTGTGCACTGATCAGTAAACTACCATTTTTCCATCACTAGACCTATTAGTATCTACATAGCTATAAAATAGTGTTCCAGCATAGGCCTTAGTAGGTTCTTCCAGGATTCAACCTGTACTGCCTTGCTGCCTGCCTAAGCCGGTTCTCTCTTCTACTCCCCCTCAGTGAAGTCAGAAAACAGCATTCATTCTTTCATTGTCACAGGTATTGTGGAAAGCACTGAGGATATAGTGTATTTGACCTTATGAGAGTACAGCTCAGTGAGAAAGATAGGGATTAAACAAGTTATCCCCATGGTAATGAAATATTTAATATGATAAGTATGACAGAACATGACATGTCCAAAAGAAACTGTCCAATGGGATCTGACTGAGTGAGGGTGAGCAAAACTTTCCAAGGGGCTGGGGATGTGGCTGAAGCGGTAGCGCGCTCGCCTGGCATGCATGCAGCCCGAGTTCGATGCTCAGCACCACATACAAAGATGTTGTGTCTGCCGAAAACTAAAAAATAAATTTAAAAAAATTCTCTTAAAAAAAAAAAAAACTTTCACAAGCAAGGCACCATTCAAGCTGAAATCCGAAGGATGAGCAGCAGAGGAGGCGAAGGGGAGAGAGCACCCAAGGAGGTAGAGGAGCCTATGTGGGAATGCTGAAAGCAGGAGGGACCCAGGTTCCTAAACCAATAGAAGGAAGAACAGAGAATCAGGGGACAGGGGCAGTGGGAGGTCTCAAGATGACAATGAGGCAGGGCTTCATCTTAAATATGACATCATCTTCAACACTGAGGACAGTTCTAAGACAATAGGAAGCCAGTAAATGTGATTCTGAAGAGCAATATACTCAGGGTTTCGTTGTTGTTATTTGAGAAACATCACTCAGCACCAAGGGAAAATCTAGTTCCTCAAGGCACAAGTCATCAAGTAACCCTGTACCTCTCCCCCCCTTGGTCTCACCTGTACATATTGTACATTCTATTTTCTAAGTAGATCTTGACTTTCAGTTGTTTGCATTACCTCTAAAATCATCCTAATCCAAGCTGGTCAATAAGCCAACACCAAGAATTTCTATATCCTGAGCCCCAAAAAAGGCCTTGAAGTTGAGGTTGAAGATGATATGAAAAAAGAAGGAATAATCATCTTTGTTGTTCAGATATCCATCAATCTAAATGAAACAGATGAAGGATACATGCCATGGAGAAAGAGTACGATGGTTTATTTTATTTGTCACTTGATAAGCCACAAGGTGCCCACGTACTTGGTTAAACATTATTTAAGGGGTGTGCTACGAAAGTATTTCTGGATGGTAGTAACATTTGAATCAGAAGACAGAATAAAGCAGATTTCTCTCCCCAATATCAGTGGGCCTCACCCAATGCTTTCAAAGCCTAAATAGAATAAAAGGTCAAGAAAATATTCTTTTTTGAGAGAGAAAGAGAGAGAGAGAGAATTTTTTAATATTTATTTTTTTAGTTTTTCAGCGGACACAACATCTTTGTTTGTATGTGGTGCTGAGGATCCAACCCGGGCGGCACACATGCCAGGCAAGCGCACTACTGCGTGAGCCACATCTCCAGCCCGAGAAAAATATTCTTTCCTCTGCGTGGCTGGGACATAGACCTTCTCTAGAAGACAAACTTCAGACAGACTGAAACTTATACCATATCAGCTCTCCTGAGTCTCAGCTTCCATAATCATGAATTAATTCTGTATACTAAATTTTGTCTTGCACATATGTGCACACACTCCTTATTGGTTCTGTGTCTTGGGAGAACTCTGAATAATTCTGAGGATGTGAGGGACACATCCTTGCTTGCAAAACTTTTACTCATCTTCTTCATTCAGTTAGCAGTGAATTCACAATGTGATTACACTATCAAATGAGCTGGGAAGACTCAAGTCAGATCTAATTAGGTACCAAGAGGGCATTAAATCTTTATTTGGATTTTGGCAAAAGTAAGGGAAACAGAAGCTTAAAAAAAAACTCAAGAAGTTGTGTGCATTTAGAAGGCCAGTTTGTTTTTTGGCAAAGGAAAACAGATTTTCTCCTGAACTATTCAAGGAGAAGAGTAGTAGAGAAAGATTCTGAACAGTGAAAGAAGACTTGAAAAAACAAACAAAAAAACCCAAAAAAACTCCAACTTGGGAGCAATTAATTGTACAGTGATATATTGAGAATAACTCAGATATACAATGTGCATAAAAAACAGGATCCTGATCCTGTAACTCAAGGAGGACATCATCTAAAAAGCTATCAATTCCCAGACTCCTAAGAGAAAAGATAGGTGAGAAAATTTCTATAAAATAGGTTCTAAATAAATTTGTAAACTGAACACAACACTTGCAGCATGTAAGGCAAATATCTCACTAAACATGCATATAAAAATTTCTCTGTACCTCCTCAACACCTGAACCATGGACAGAAGTTTAAATAAGGAATATACATGAGAGTCCTGGGGTACACTCTCAATGCTTCATCCAGTGAACAAGTGTATTTGTTGTCTTGACTTAGTTTTAATCAAAATTAAACAGCCATAGGTTACATACTACCAGTTTGGTTATTGCTTCAATGTTTTAGGTTTTTAAAAAATGCAGTAATAGCATAAACTATGACTCAAAGGCCACAGAACCCCGCTTAACATTACATTCAAGGTGAAAGTTGGACCATTGATGAAACACAGAAACATGGCTTCAGACAGGACTGAAAAGATTTAAATATGCTCATGCATATTTAAATTCCTTCAAATGTGTTTCCAGTAGGTACTTTGGATCAGTCTTCATTGAAATAACTGACCATTTGTACTCCAACTATATAGATACATACTCAAGCGTACTCTGTTTTTTTTTTTGTTTTTTTTTTTTTTTTGTGTGTGTGTGTGTGTGTTTTAATCTACTGCTTTAGTTGTATGTACTGGGGGGAATTTATCCATGAGAATCATTTTTTTCCCATAAATGTCTTCTGTTTTATAATCTGTCACAAAGATTGATACTAGCTTTTTTTTAGCTACTTTTTTTCATGGCTAGTAGAATATTGCTGCATATTTAGAAGGAGTGATTTCCTATAAGATTCTAATACATCCTGTACCACACTTACAAGATAAAGTGTGTGCTCATTTTTTAAAAAAATCACTTAAAATATGTGTGTGAAGTTCTTAATTTTCCCACAGAATTGGAATGTATATTAAAACTTTAGCTTTTTTTTTTTTTTAAAGAGGGGTGGAGGGTGGCACTTCTATCTACAGTACCTATCAGTTTAAAAATAATCATACCACTTAGTATTGGCAAGGGTTTCCCACACAGTGTTTAGAGGACATTAAATTGATATATTTTGTCTATAGGGTGAATACTAGTTGATATGCAGGATGCAAAACCTAAAAGATGAGAAGACTTTACCCAGGCAATTTTACCTGTGAGAATTTACCTTGGTTATGATATTCACATCAATTAAATTGACAGTTGAAAAAATGTAAGTATATGATTAATAAGAGAAAAATTAAATAAATTATGGCATATCCATATTAAAACTCTTGTAGCCATTAAAAGGGATTGTTAGAAATACATTCAGCAATTTGGAAAAGTGGTCCCAATACAACAATCTCTCTGGATTATTTTCTTTAAATGTTACCTGTGCATACACAGAAAAAAGTGAGTGTTAACATAATGATTATTCAAGAGATATTTTTCTCTTTTCTCGTCTGAATTTTATAATTTTTATATAACAAAACACGTATGGCTAAAATTAGCATATTACAGTGATACAGCCACATCAATGTTTATAGTAGCTCAATTCACAATAGCTAGACTATGGAACCAACCTAGGTGTCCTTCAACAGATAAATGAATTTTTAAAATGTGGTAAATACACACAATAGAGTATTACTGAACCTTAAAGAAGAATGGAATTTGCCAGTAAACAGATATAGCTGGAGAACATTATGCTAAGTGAAATAAGCCAATCCTAAAAAACCAACAGCGGAATGTTTTCTCTGATATGTAGAAGCTAATTCACAATGGGGGGCAGATAGGGAATAATAGAGTTACTTCAGATTAGGTAGAGGGGAGTGAATGGAGGGGAAGGAGATATGGGGGTAGAATAGTAGAATGAATCATACATTATTATCCTATGTACACATATGACTGTACGACCTGTGTGATTCTACATCATGTACAACCAGAAAAATGAGAAATCATACTCCATTATATATGATGTATCAAAGTGCATTCTACTGTCATTTATAACTAATTAAAACAACAATTTAAAAATAATCATGTATGGCTTTAATAGTTACAATTGTCATCCATTGTATTCATTTGTTCACTTTAATAATGGCTACAGAAGCTTCTGCTCTAGTTGTGGTGCCTCTAGACACAGGGACTTTGAACCAATCTGGTAGGTTCAGCACATGCTGGGGCAAACCTGATGACCACTGTCCCTCCTAAACCTCTTCTTCTAACTCAGCTGTCCCCAACAACCAAGGACCCTGCTCACCAAACTGTCCCGGATGCAGGGCTTCTCCACCAGCCTCCGGACTCCATTCTCCACGGTGATTCCCAGCCAGTTGAGTGCTGCCCAGCACCAGAGGTAGTCATGACCACCATGCCAGAAGCTCACAAATGCAAACGTGATTGCAGTGGAAAAGAGCATCCACAACAGGCCATGCTGGGACCCTCCCAGTGGAATGTACACGTACCTAGAGAAAGAAAATGCGATGAGAAGCCATGACGGGGGACATGCCTGCAACATTTCCTGCTCCTGGGCTTACCTCTCCCTGGCCACTCACCAAACCCAGACCCTTTGCTACTTCCCAAAGGCCACAGACCACTCCAAATTCTCTGTCACGCAAGGAATTGGCCAAAAACCCAAACCTGTAGGGCTTTAGGTTAAATGAACACAGAGGCTCAAGAGCTCTCGTTACCAGAGCAATGTAGCACTTACAAGAGGCAGGGAGAGAAGTAATGAGTTCACTTCTGAAAGGGACGCACCCAACCCTGGAAACCCAATCTCAGAATGGCAATTAAGCTGCTGGTTACATGGGGGCACCAACCTTCAAAGCAGGAAAGTACTCTGTAGCCCAAAATATTTAAGTTCAATTGCTAAAACCAGGCCCCTAAATGATAGGACCTGGGTGAAGAAGAGGGGTGCAAAGGCTGGTTTCCTTAGTTTTCCAGGAAAGCTGCCCAGAAGCCAGAGTGAATTTGCTAATAGAAAGAAAAGCTCTGTGCTTACAAGGCAGCCAAATCACCACCCAAACACAGAACCATCCTCCAGTTATGGTCTCCACTGCTAAAGAGCTGCAGGGAGAGGGGCAGAACTACATTCTTTCATCAGGACCTTGCTGCTTGGGAGGGACAAAGCTCACACCTTGGGTTTTAGAACCAAGGGGAGCTAGGAGCATGCCCTAACACACAGCAGCCTTTTAAAGAACCCATAGGCCTTTATTGATTTATGGTTAGTGCTTCTTTATCCCACCTTCCTCCAGGAAGGAAAAGGAAGCACCATTCTCATTCTACACAGTGTATTCCAAGAACTAGACACTTCATGTACACTTTTTGATTCTTCAAAGCACCATATGGTTTACACTACTGTCCTAGCATCTTGAAGAGGTCAGCATTTGTCCTGTTTATATGTTACTGTATTTTTTGGAACAAACCTTAGTTTGAAAATCATTTTTAATAGAATCATTTACAGACAGGCAAGTCAAAAAATAAATGAAAACAAATTAGCTCATAAATAAATATGCTAAAAATTACATGATTATAATTTTTTTTACTTAAGACAAAAAATGTACATATTAATAGGGTACTGTGTGTTTAATGTTATACTAGCTATTCAAACTTTTTTCATTTATTTATGATGAAAACTTTCAAACTCTTATTCTAACTTTTTTTAAAAAATGCATGCACATTACTAACTATTGCTGCCTACTGTACAATAGCACCAAAATGTCTTGCTCTTATCTGTGATTATAATTATTCATAAATATCCTCCTTCACAAAGACTATCTCCTTGGATAAACTTCAGTGAAGCTCTGATAAAACCTCCAGACCTTGACCATAGTGTCATATTTTGGGGGCATCATCCAGTTGCAGCAAGAATCCTGCTCAGTCTAGAGAAGACCCCTGACCTTTGATGATATCTGGTCACCCTCACCTGCTTTCAGCAAGATTTTTTTTTAACCCAGGATGCTTAATCACTGAGCCACATCCTCAGCCACTTTTTATATTTTATTTAGAGATAGGGTCTTGATAAGATGCTGAGGCTAGCTTTGAACATCACAATCCTACGGCTTTAGCTTTTTGAGTCACTGGGATTAGAGGTGTGTGCCACTGTGTCCGGCTCAGCAAGAATCTTGTTACATTTGTTTAACCAGAACCCCCCTCTAATCCAACATCTCCTCTTAGTATTCTTTCATCCGAAGACCCCCACTCTGCTTGTTGGCTATCTCTCATTCGTGCAAGTTATATTCAGAATTGAATATGACACTGAAGTCTCTTTTTGCCCTGATTTAATAGTTCTTCATAAAATTTGTTTTTATAGAAGCCAAGCATGGTGACACATGCCTATAATCCCAGTGAGTCAGGACGCTGAGGATGATCACAAGTCTGAGGCCACACTGACCAATTTAGGGAATTAAGAAAAAATAAAAGGCTTTCGATGTGGCCAAGTAGTAAAGCACCCCTGGGTTGAATTCCTTGTATGGGGGACAGGAGGAGAGAAAGGGAAAGTGCGTTGAAGGAAACAGTCATTATGGATAGGTATGGTGATAAACACCTGTTAAGTCCCAGCCACTTGAGAGGCTGAGGTAGGAGGATTCCCAAGTTCAAACTCAGCCTTAAAAAACTTGGGAGACCCTGTTTCAAAGTTTAAAAAAATCAAAAGGGATAAAAGATACAGCTCAGTGGTAGAGCACCCCTGGGCTCACTCTTCAGTAATCCTACCCCCCAAATTTTTGTTTTTACCACTTTAAAGCACCGTCTAGGTCTGGTTTTCCCTTAAATGCCCTTTAGTCTCAAACATACTGTAATTTAGAGAATAATCATATGCTCACCTTAGAAAATCCCATTTTATAAATAAGAAAAATGAGGTTGTGAGTTAATTTGTCCATGATACATAGCTGGGAAGGGGAAGAACCAAAATATAAATCTGCATCTATGGCACCAAAGTTAATGCTTTGTGTCATACTTAAAGGTTATCTCTCAAAGCCCTCTTTCATACTAGCTAGAAATGATTAAGCCCAAAGGAGAAAGTACTCATTTCTAAAATAAGCAGAGAAAATACTTCCTCTCATACAAAACCAAGACCATCTTCACGACCAACTCAGCAAACACACACCCAGGACTCCTTACATTAAGGGATCATACTTCTGCAGTACTGTAGCTATTTAGGCCTTCCGGGCAATTTTGGCTTTAGGAGAAACAGAGACAAAAGATGTTGCTCCTGCCATGAGGACAGGTACACCTGACTATGGTTTAAGACTATGGAAGAGAAGGGGACAGATGAAGCAGAATGGCCAAGTCACCACTTAACTCAGGCTTAGAGGATGAGATTCTTTCTCTAGGCAAAGGAGAAAAGGGGATGTTGCACCAAGGACACACAAGAGTCGTGGGGGGCATTTGCTCAAAAAGCCCAGGAAAGCTGGGGGCACACGTCTTAGTTGGTGTTCTGCTGCCCCCTAGAGGCTGAGTGGTTATTGGTGTGAACACTCAGCAATGGCAAAACATGGGCTACAAATCCCAGGCTGCCTCCTACCTGCACCAAGGTAAGTGCTGCCCTTCACTTCCCACAGTGTTGGTAACAGCCGGCACACATTTAGTAATTATGACTAAGTGACCACCTTCAAAAGTATGAGGAATGACTGTAGTTTAAGGAAATTTCGCAAGTACTGATTTACAAAACAATTTATCTAATACTCCCCTCCCCCAACACACCTGTTTTCACAGAGATTTTTATAGTGTGTAAAAGTGAGCTGTACTGTGTATGTCCAAAACTCCTGGAAAGAATCAGACCCTCTTTTGCTCCATACGGATAGCACTCAACAGCCGATTCAGCTCCAAAAGGGACATGTTTTTCCAGCTTGTGATGAGGACGCATCTAACCCCATGATCACAAGCACAACTATTTTAGGCATCTCCTGGAACCATAGCTCTGTTACTTTGCCTTCAAAATGACAGCTGACAAAAATCTCTGAGAATGCTTTATTCCAGAAATTCATATATGGCAGATCTCCAAGGACATGAGGCTGCTTGTTCCAAACCGTAAGAGGGTATCCTTTCCAGACTGGAAGATAAAATCTCCTCTTCCCTCTTATTTTCTAGAGGGCAGTGCACCAGTTTGGTAAGGGGGGAGTGAACGGGTGAGTTTTACAAATTCTATCGCTCTTGTGTCTGTTCTGTGATTAATAAAATCAGAAACATGTCTCTGTTTTTGAAAAGCAATCATGAGACCCCACTTACTGAGATGTGCTGCACGGTGAAATTGATTTCCCACTGGAAGAAGGCAATGAGAACCACCCTCTCAGCAAAAGCAAAAATAAAAGATTTTTTTCTTGCCAGAGATTATTCGAGTGTGAGTCTGTCCAAGGCCTCTCCATGCCTGGCCAATTTCATATGGTCACTAATGCAGAGAATGTCGCTTGAGGAGGTGAGCATCCATCTACAGCCACCTTAATCAAAAACCATCTCATGAAATCAATGCTACATAGCAAACCCCCAACCGAGGAGACTGAATTGATATAAAATATGAATGGTACAGATAATACCCACCTTTCACTGAGTGTCCATGATCTGGGTTATTTATATATTCTGTTTCAAATCATTAATACAACCTGCAAGGAAATAACTTTTTTTTTTTTTAACACACAGGAGATATAGAATCTGAACCTAGAATGTTCTACTGCGCTATTTATCACAAAGGGAGCATTTCTTTGGATAAAATAAAAGGAACATTTATCCCTATCTTCAAATCAGTTTCCACAGAAATATTTACTAGTCTTGACTGAAAAAAAAAATGTCCTTTCTAGGGAAGAAGACTTGCTCAGAAAAATAAAGCTTGTTATTTATTAAAGGAATTGGACCAGTGACCTGTTAGCTACTATTCAGTGCCAGAAGGTCAAAAGTAAAACTTCCATTGCTGAACCGACTTAATAGTTGTCTTGATCCCACAGAGATGACACCTGCTATGATGGCATCTTGCAAACATCTGTGTCAGAAGTGGGACATAAGAATTTGGTTGGGGGAGTTGCTGAGTGGATATACATGAAGACAATCTCCACCTCCCTCACATCCACAATGAAAAACAATTCAAGAACATGCCCTGAGCATGGGAGATGGGCAGTGGGAATCCATATGGTAAAATCCTTTGCCTACAAAATAGTTCCATGTCTTTCTATGTTATCTCTGAACCCATTTCTCCATACTAACCCCAAGGCTCCATCACGGTAAGAAGATGAAGCACCCAAGATACTCATGGACTTGGCTTTCACTGTCCCATGGACTAAGCCCAGGTGAGCTTGCAGGTCTCCAGTGTCCCATCTCCAAGGACTTATTGCTTGGCCAAGTTGGGCAGGCAGCTGCTGCCATCCTACTCAAGCTCTGCCTTATCTTTCCATCCATATTTCCTTTATTCTCAATTTAGCTCTCTCAGCAAATCCTAAATCCTAAACAGAGGGAACTTTCTCATTCCCATGCTTTT